ACACACACACACACACACACACGCCGCCAGACTACATAGGGATAGGAACTAATCAGCCTGTCAGTCCACTGACAAAACTCACTAGGACTAGGGCCACCCCAAATTAACATTAGAGGATTTACAAGAGGCTGAAACGGGTCTACTATCCAAAACCTTTAATCTAGGCACTTCCCCTTCTTCTGATGCCTGCTATTCTGCCTTAAGGGTTAATTCTTCTGGACAACAACCATATTACCTAGCTTCTGAGGCTACTTGGTGGGCATGTCCTAATGGTTTGACTAAATATGCCTTTTTGATGCTTGCCAAAGTAAGTAGACAGGTTGATCTGGACCTAGAGGTATTAAAAGATTTCATTTCTGAATGAAAGCAACAGTTAGATTCCCTTGTAGAAATGGTCCTACAAAATTGGAGAGGCTTAAACTTATCTCTCACAGGATAAAGGAAACTATGAATGACTTTGGGAGAAGCTTGTATTTCTAAGCCAATTGATCAGGAGTAATTAGAGAAAATCTTGCCATGGTTGGGGAAAATCTTAAAAAGCAAAAGAGGCAAAGATATAAATGAGATAATTGATACCAGTTTCTGTTCTCTTGGTCCCCCTGGCTAACTACTCTGCCATCAGCACTGACTGGGCCTTTAATTCTCATTCTGATTGGATTAATGCTAGGACCCTGCATGTTAAACTATATGGCCAATTACATATTAGTTCATTAAAATTAATGTTCCTTAGGACCAACTACATGATTTAGAGCAGAGTAAGTCCATGATTTGACTCATTCACTAAGACCATTGGGGAATGTAACAGAGTCGTAGACCTTAGCAATACTGACACCATGATAGAAGAATCATTCAGACTGTAAAATTCAGCACATAGCCCACCTACGAAAATGAAAACAAAGGCCTTTGGGGAAAGGCTCTAAATGTACTAACCTTGCTTTTTGGCTTCTGTAGTTCTGCTTCAGGCTTGTTAACTGAAGTATATTAACCCAGAATATGTTTTTTTGTACTTAAACGCTCACCCTGAGAAAGGTGGGTGCTACACTGGGATCCTGAATAGCCAGTGTAGTCACTGACCAGCAAATAAAGACTTTCTATTGGCTTAAACTCAGTCTTCTCTTCTTGGCAGTCTTCTCTGGTGGATACCCCATGACACCCTAGGGCTCAGGGAACCTGTGGAAAAGGAGTCAGAAAGAGCGTAAGAGCCAGAGGTGATGGAGGACATCAAGAAAACAAGGCCCTCTAAATCACCATGAACAAAGCGCATATGAACTCAGAGACTGAGGCAGCATGCACGGGACCTGCATGGGTCTACACCAGGTCATTTGTGTATATATTATGGCCTCCAGTTTAGCATTTTTATGGGAATCCTGAGTGTGCAAATGAGTGGGTCTTTGTTTCTCGTGCCTTCTCATGAACTCTTCCTTCTGGTTGTTTTGTACAATTCCAATGTGTTATTTTTGCTGTATCTTATATTTCATTTTATTATTATTGTCCCTTAAATGCCTGCTTGTTTTCTAATGAGATACAGAAAGGAAGTGGATGCAGATGGGAGGCAGAGGTGGGCAGGAACTTGGAGGAGTAGAGGGAGCAGACACTGTAATCAGGATATTTTCAATAAAAGGAGAGAATTTTAAAAAGAGCCCTAGGCTATCTAATAAAAATCCAAGTACCAGGCATGAGAAATCTCTGTTCCAGTTGTTGGTCAGGAGTCCAAGAGACTCCCCCAAACAATATAGGTTATTGCTGTGGCCCTTGGTTGCCTCCCTGAAGTTGAAAGTCAGTCTCTATTGCGAAGGCACCACCTACTTTGGAAACTACACTCAGGGGATTTGAGTTTGATCTGACCTGAAAGCCTCCTCCCCGGAAGACTAGCTTCAGTAGCACCAAAAGCTATTAGCAAGCTGCCAAGGGAGGAAGCAATCAATAATCCCATGCAGCTGTGATACCTACAATGCACGACGAAGCGTGCATTACATGCACTACAAATCTGTGTAGCGAGTTACACCTAAAGGTTCACTAGTGGCACTTACATATTGGGGGTAACCAACAGCTGTCTAACTGGACTTAGGTCCACTCCACAGAAGGGAAATCATGCCTAGTACTATAATCCTAGTCAGCCATCCACGGCTAATGAGGTCGTGGATCTTAAACTACAATTACCACTTTCCTAACCCAATGTAATTCCTAACTGTGTTCTAAATACTTCATACACATATTAGTGTAGCTTTCACCCCTTATCTAAGAAGCTTCTTTTCACAGCAGAGATAATTACACAAAGTAGGAACTCGTCAAAATGCAGAGAACTGACCATAGGGTACCCAGCCCCAGTTGAAACATCTACATCATAACCCCCACACCTAAGGCTCAGGGAGCATCTCAGAGGAAGGGGTGGAAAGATTCCAAGAGCCAGAGGATTAGGAAGTCTGCTGCAAGACTATCTTCTACACATGACAGGCAAGATACATTCATGAAATCTCAGAGATAGGGCTACTAAATGAAGACCTGCATGATGACATCAGTTGACTTGCCAATGTGCCTGGTGGAAATCACAAAGGCCCAACCATAGATGAAGAGATACGGGCAATTAAAGACTGATGAGAGGGAAAATTAGTCTTCTCCAAGGATGAGTCTTTTAAGCATTTATCTCAAACCAAGTGGCCAGCCAGAAAACATATACATACAAGCCAACACTAAACAGGCTCAATGGGTGGCACTTATATAATTATTCATACATTTATATGTAACAGTAATAATTCAAGAATAAGAGGCTAGGAATTTGAGTGGACATGGGAGGTCATGGACGGAGGAGTGGAACAGGGGAAATGATGCAATTAAATTTTCCATCTTAAAACCTTTTTAAAGAAGAAAGTTAAGAAGGAACCGCTAATTAGACTAGATAGACGATAGAGATGACAACTTCCCATCTTAGCAGAGTTGAAGGAAGCCTGGCATGTCTGGAACACCAAAAGTCACAATGATTAGCCAAACAGTAAAAATTCAAAATGTCCATCCATGAACAAAAACTATAATCTCTTCATTACTATGAAGACATGAAAAGGAAAGCACTACAAACATGCTACAATAACAGCTTTGGAAACACACTAGGTTAAAAAAGGAGACACAAAGGACCACTCCGGTATAATTTCACTGAAACATGCAAAGCAAAAGTTATATTTAATCATCACTGTCAACCTAGTAGATATACCTCTGGGTGTGTCTGTGATGATAATTCCTGAATGTGGGTGGCACCACACCATGGGCTGGAATCCTGAACTGGATGAAAAGAATGAGAATGTGAGCTGAGCACCAATATTCGTCTCTCTCTGCTTCCTGAGTACACAATGTGGCCTTGTATCACTCAGACACCTGCTACATGTCTTTCTCACCATGCTGCACAGTATTCCCTAAAACTGTAAGATAAAATAAAGGTAAGGAAAAGGGCTCAGTAGGTAAAGTATGTTGTGGGAATTCATTCTGCCAATAGCTTGGGGATACAGGCCTTAGGCTGTGGCTTCTGTGTGCAGATGTCTGATGTGACCTCATATAAGGAAGGGGGGTCTCTCTTGCCCCTTTGGGGGGTTAGAGCAGAAGCAAGCCAAACAGTGGAACATGACAGCTCGACCCCATGGGGGCTTCCACTTTGTCCTTTGAGGTTTATTTCCCATTGAATTCCCATAAGAGACTTTTGTAAATTCTTGCGTCACCTGGTGCCAAACAGGGAGCTTGAACCCGCGACCCTGAGATTAAGAATCTCATGCTCTATCAACTGAGCTAGCCCAGGCCTCAGGGTGGGGGAGGCAGCAGTTGCAATTTGGAATCTCTGCCTTGGCAGTGGCCACCCTCTCAGTTGCACGGGGGACAAGGATGGCTAGTGGGGAGCAGGGGCCTTCTGGGTTGAAACTGCAGCAGTCATGGCCACTGCCAAGGTGGGGACTCTGGCTCTCCACTGCCACCTCCTCCACCAAAAGTGCTTGCTAAACAGCACCTAGATACCTGTAACCCTAGTGCTGGGTGAGGAAAAGAGGGGGGATGAACCCAAGGATATGCCAGTCGGACAAGTTGGTCTACCCCAAACATCTCTCAGGGGAGGAAGAGATACTGTCTCAAATAAAGGAGAAAAGTGACAGACACAAGTTGTCAGTAGCCTCCACAAGCATACAAACACAAGAAAACAAACCCTTCCTTAAACTGCTTTCATCAGGGATTCTGAAATTGGTCACAGAAATGAGAACAGTAAGCAATAGGTGAATCCATAGAAACAAAAGCCCATTTATGATTTTTAGAGACAATAGAGAAAGATATAAACAATTTAGAACTACATGAAAATGGTTTTAGTCCAACACTGTATTACTAAATGCCACTGAATTGCTTAAAATGGTTACTTTTATTTTATATGTATTTATCTCAATACAAATAAATAAGTTACAAAGAAAAAAATGCATAAAGAGATAATGTAACCATCAAAAACCACAAACAAAATAAAGAGAATTGGGATATAGCTGACTCTAATAGAGCACTTCTCTAGCATGTACCAAATCCTGGGTTCCATCCCTGCAAACAGAAAAGAGACGTATTGGGGAGGGAACTGGCTCGTCTTAAGAATCCTATCACATCCACATTAAGCTGTCTAAACTTCAGAAGTTGCAGCTCTCTGCAATTGTGCCTGCCATCTGTAAGGTCCTACACTGCTGGGCTCTAAATGTCTAACATGAAGACTAGAACTCAGCATTGCCTTCTTTGCCTTTGCTAGCAATCACAAATCAGGTCTATGGGTTTAAGAGCCAAGTCTATAAACCAAATTTTAGCCACATACTCTGGCCAGTGCCAACTATTTTCCATGAACAGTGGATGGTGTTGGTGTAGTTTTTCAAATTCAAGGTATCTAGCTATTGAAACTAAAGCCTTCTGAACAAGTCTGCCGTGTAAGGGATTGAAAAAATTCAGTCCCCAAAACTTTATATAGAGAAATATCAACAACAAAGAGAATCTGATATTAATACATGAAAATTCATAATTTTGTTGGCACAGGCTTCAGTAATGTCTACGGTCACTGGCATGGAAGGACTCCCGCTCCCGGGAGTGCCTATGCTTTTTATGCCAATGGGACCTATCCAGACTCCTACTTCTGCTTCTATGACTCCGCCCTTCAGAATGCCCACCATGCCTGCTGGAATAAGCAGCACCTGAGCTCCTCCCTCTATCCTTTTCTCTGCTCTTTTCTTCTCCCTGCCTCCTGCTCGAGGACTTCTGCTCGTGCTTGGGTTTCTCTTTCTTTGGCTCCCACTCAGGATCCCCTGCTCTACCATGGAAGGAACTCCTGACATCAGGGGAGTCTGCTTGGTTCTTCTTTCCCTCTCTGGATTCAGACTTCTGGGCTTTCTCTGAGTTCCTGCTGTTGTGCTTCTTTGGGCCATGGTCATCCTTTTCCTTTGCTGTCTTGCTGCTGGAGGACAAAGAGCAGGACGGCGGTTCTGCTAGTTTCCTGTGTTCAGTCTTCTCTTTTCCTTTCTTTTTCTTTTTCTCTTTTTTGTCTGCGCAGGGAAATCAATAAGTAAAAGAAAACAAAGAAATCTCTTTAAAATGTGCCTTTCTTCTCTCAGTAGATCACATAAAACTGAGACATTCCAAAATGTTCCCATGCAAGCAGATGGAGAATATGCATGTGAAAAACATCCCAGGCAGCAGCAAGAAGCAGTCACAGGTTGTGCCTCCAGGGAAAATGTCTCCCAGAATCAAACTGGATATCTGTTAGTCCTGATAAGTCAAGTTGTACAAAACAACCCCACACCAAAGGGCTGTATCTCCAAATACAATCTCATTTTGAGATACAGACGAGTGAAGGATGGCAATATATCAACTTAGGGAGCCATAATTCAGCCCCTACAAGTAGCCTTCCTTCCTCAGAAACATCTGCTTTCTCAATTAAAATAAGGATTGTCACACCTTCCCTTTTTCCACTTAAGAGTGAATTACTGACTATATATGCATGCTGGAAAAGAAGACGCTAAGACTACCCAGAATCTTCTCCTGAGTTTGAACACTCCACCTTTTTTGTGTTTTTTTGTGGGTTTGCCATCTTCATCTTCAGAGACCTCAGGAGAACTTGATGAAGGTGTATTAGCCCCACAGCCCTTCTCCTGCAGCTCTCTGGTCACATCATCCACATCTTCTGATTCCTGAGGAGTCCGGTAGTTTGACACATGGTCCACGCGGATAGTCCTTCCCTTGATCTAAGCAAGACCAGAAATGTTTTAGCAAAGACAGCCCCAGCATCCAACTCTCTGAACAAAACTACAGAGAATCAGGTTTGAATCATATCCATCACCTTAAACAGGAAAACCATAAAAGAAAACATGCTCAACTGGTATGTTATAGCATATATATATTAAATATATATAAAATAAATAAATAAATAAATATAAAAATATATATTTAATAACTAATAATACACAGCTGAATAAATAAATATATAAATATATAATATATATAACATAATATAATATATGATATAATATATAATATATATAAATATATATAAATATGTATATATAAATAAATAAATATAAAATAAAAATATATAAAAAATATATATATTTAATAACTAATAATACACAGCTGAATGGGGCCTAGGGCAGGTGAGATCTCTGGGGCAACTGTGACCAGAGTTTCCCTTGATATACTACGGGGACTATGCAAATTTCTTCATGTCCTGCATGTATCATGAAGTTCAAAAACACTCAGAAGTACTACCCTAAAGCACATCATCAAGAAAGTCTATGAGAGGGCTGGAGAGATGGCTCAGAGGTTAAGAGCACTGGCTGCTCTTCCAGAGGTCCTAAGTTCAATTCCCAGCAACCACATGGTGGCTCACAACCATCTGTACTGACATCTGGCGCCCTCCTCTGGCATGCGGGCAGAGGTAGAATGTTGTATACATAATAAATAAATAAATCTTTAAAAAAAAGTCTATGAGAATATAGGATTTAAAGCACAGTTGATTATCTATAAGGATAGGGAAATAATACAGTTGTTAAAGCACTTGCCTTGTAAGAAAAGAACCTGAGGTTAATCCTAAAAGCGCACACAATCTGGGTGTGGTAGCACACACTTGTAATTCCAGCATTGGGAGGGAGAGACAGGAAGACTGCTGGAGCTCACAGTCAAAGCAATCCTGCCTACTTGACAAGTTCCAGACAAGTGAGAGATCTTGTCTCAAAAAAAGGAGGAAGAGGAAAAGGTAGACAGATCTTGAGAAATGATGCTGATGCTGTCCACCTATATGCGCTCACGCATGAATACACATATACACAAAGTTATACACATTTAACAAGAAAACAACATGTCCTAGAAAAGAATGAAGACTAGAACATGAAATCTGATGTTACAGCTGCTTTTTCTTTTATTATTGATTTTTATTGAGCTCTACATTTTTCTCTGCTCCCCTCTCTGCCTCTCCCCTCCCGCCTTCAATCCTCCCCCAGGGTCTCCATGCTCCCAATTTACTCAGGAGATCTTGTCATTTCCTACTTCCCATGTAAATTAGATCTATGTAAGTCTCTCTTAGTGTCCTCATTGTTTTCTAAGTTCTTTGGAGTTGTGATTTGTAACAGCTGCTTTTTCAACAAAGTAATCAGGAGGCAAACTCAGACCAAGGGAACAAAGTTCTTTTGTTGAGGGAGTGGTACTGAACTAAGGGTCTCATATATACTGGAGAAGACTCCAGCACTGAGTATCACTGAACAATATTCCTACCTTTACTTCCTCTTTTCTTTTTAGTGTAAATAAACTGTAGTTTATTTGCAAGGTTGATAATTCTTCCTTAAAACTAATTAGGCCATCTTTTAATAAAGTATAAATCATTACAGATGATTTTTACACAAGATTTTACATATTGAAATCTTTACTTGAGTTTTAAAAGCCCAAATGGAGAATATGGTAAAATTTCATTTTATCACCATTTGTACATATAAATAGGAGCACATGAATCCCATTTAGTGAAAGTAAGCTGACCCTGAACATAGCTGAACAGGTATTAACTACAGTTAACTATTTCTCACAAGTCTCAAGCTCAGGAAAAATTCCTAGCCTCATGACTTGACCATAGTGAAATACATTGTCCTGTAGGCACAGGTCAGAGTACAGAAAAACACAGAAGGTACTAGTCCATCAAGATAACCCCTAGAAGGGAGAGTGAGTTGCTTAAACAAATATTGTCAAGGATGATATTTACTGGTTTAGAGAAACTGACGAATTTTCATTACATTTTATAAGGCCAGCTATCCTTACATTTAACTTTAGACATCTACACAGTACAATCAACTTACAAATACTACCAAGTTTCATAATCAAAATGGCTACTATTTCTCCTAAAACCAAAACAGAGTAAAGCATATGTCTTTGGCGCTCCTTAAAGAAATAACAGGTTATCATTCTTTACCAGACCTTTGCTTGCCTGCCAGTAGGGCAAATACCACATCTGCGCATCACTGAGTAATAACAGTAATAACGCCATTAGAAAAGGCAACTTCACAGAAGTCATGGGCTAAGCTAATTCATTTGAATGCTCTGCTTAGAGGCAGCAAACTGTCACTGGTAGAGATTGGGTAAGTCAAGGGGAAATTGCAGAATGGCAAGGGGTCAGGAAAAAAAGAAAATGGGCTCATTCTGTTTTTAGTGAGTCTTCGGAAAATGATAAAATTGAGAATAAAATATCTAGACTCACTTTCCTAATTTATAGTCACAAGATAAATCTAATAGCTACCCTCTCCAGGGATAACTTACAGAGTCTGATGTGACCAAAGAGTCATTCCTTACTACTTTTCTAATTAAACAGAACCTGTCACCTAAGTTTCTAGTATTAATGTTCAAGTGACAAGACATTATTAATGTCAACTACAGATACTCAACTACTCCGAATATAAGAACTCATCTGGTGCGGCATTAATGTGTGTTACTACTCCCTTCCCTTCTGGTTTTTTTCCCATGTATTTATTTTTTGCCTAAAGGCAGAAGATTGATGTGATTCTCACTTGCTACTCGGATACATGGTCCCATCAGACACCCATGAGCTTCACTGTGGGAGCTTGAAATTTAGTTCCATGATTATCTTTTTACTTCCTTTTTTTTCTTAAGCTCTCATATCTTTTTTCTACTCCTGTCACACAGGACCTTTCAGTTTCCACTGATTATTGGACTATAGACTATAGTTGTGCAGGTGAACAACAAAAAAATGTACCCTTTGCTTTATAAACAGTCTATTTTCAAGTAGATACACTTCTATACAGGTAACAGCATCTGAACGCGGAATTTCAGTTTTACTGTTCCATTCCAAGACTACATTTTTACGTGTGCCTTTAAACCTGAGAAGCTTCTGTCATCCATTCTATTTCTCATTTTGATCCTTTTTTTTTAAAAAAAGCAATTTTCCTTTGATGACAACTTCTTCTGAAGGTCATTCCCTTAAAATTCCAGAATGGCCTATTTTTATAGAATTGGTCAGCAGATTTAAGTAAAGAGTTTCCAAGAGCCAATAAGTTAAGTCACTAGAATCATATACTAAATACAGATGTTTGTCTTAGCTCCTAAAGCCCTGATGAAGCCCGGTTTTCTAGCACAGCACAATATCCAAGAGCAGTGTTTCCAGTCTCTAATGCATTAGAACAGATGGAAAATGTGTATAAGAAAAACATCCTCCAGATAAGGGGGCATAGTACCCATGTTTCTGGAATGACAGTTTGCTAACACATAGGGAAAAAGAATAAGTCCCGGCAGATGTATGAGCGAGAAAATGGTTTCCTGGAATCATTCCCTATCCAGTGTGTCTAGGCACCTCTACAACCCCCACAATACATCCAGCTGACCAGGACTTTTTCTGCACCTATAAACAGCAAGCAAAAAAAGAATGAAGCCTATCTTGGACACAGGAGAAGTCCAGCCAAATCCTGCACAGTAAGCATATTTACCTTAATTCCATTAAAATTGTCAACAGCCAGAACTGTGCTCCTCTGATCTTCATAGCACAGGAAACAGAATCCTTTGGATTTCCCAGTCTTCTTGTCTCTCACAAGATTAATGTTGACAATCTCCCCATATCTGTTGAGTTTATAAAATGTATTATTCATTTAAAATGCAAAAATTTTCATACTGAAACAAAATTCAAATACTCGGTACAGGAGAAATCAATTAAGATGACACAGTAGGTTGAAAAGAAAAAGTTAAATAAGAATATAACAGCCGGGCGGTGGTGGCGCACGCCTTTAATCCCAGCACTTGGGAGGAAGAGGCAGGCGGATTTCTGTGAGTTCGAGAACAGCCTGGTCTACAAGAGCTAGTTACAGGACAGGCTCCAAAACCACAGAGAAACCCTGTCTCAAAAAACCAAAAAAAAAAGAAAAAAAAAAGAAAAAGAAGACTATAACAAGGCCAAAATGAATGCATTAAATGAAACTGACTAAATTATTTTACACTGAAAAAAAAAACATAACTCATGAATCAAAACTTTTGAGCAGGTGTGGGTGAAGGCAGAGATAAGCAGATCTCCATAAGTTTGAGGCCAGACAGCCTAATTTATATTTCAATTTTCAGGTCAGCCAGGGCTACACAAAAGAAATAGACACTTATCAGAGATTTTTACGTTTAAAACAAAGTTGACAAAAATAAGAGTAGATGAATTAATATCAAATAAAAATAATTACCAATAATCCAATAATGTCAGACTAGGAAACGTATAGGTATTTTTGAAGTGTATAATGATATAAATTATTTTCAAGAATTCATGAAACAAATTAAATTCACTATTTGTAAGGTCCCAAAATAAATATCAATAAGCACTAAAGCTTCTAAAAAAAAAGACAGCTCAGCAGTTAAGAGCACCTACTGCTCTTGCAGAAAACCCAAATCTAGTTCCCATTATCCAAGCCAGGTGTCTCACAACCTCTGTACCTCCGGGGGACTCCGATGTCTCTGGATTGATTCTACAGTGCATACTCACACTCACACAAACACATGCGCACACAACCATATATATATATATATATATATATATATATATATATATATATAATTTAGTTAAAAATAGCCAGGCAGTGGTAGCGCTCACCTTTAATCCCAGCACTCGGGAGGCAGAGGCAGGTGGACCTCTGTGAGTTTGAGGTGAGCCTGGACTACAGAGCAAGTGCCAAGACAGACTCCAAAGCTATACAGAGAAACCCTGCCTCGAAAAACAAAACGAAACAAAAAAAACCTAGTTAAAAATAAACTCTAAAAATCTACAGTATATACTTCCCAATTAGTGTGATAAAACTCGAAATACTATTTTAAACAAAACCTGCTACTGCAGCTAAAGAGATGACTCAATGGCGAAGAGCACTGGTTTCTCTTCCTAGAGGACCCAGGTTCACTTCCTAAGCGCCCACTTGCAGGCTCATGACCATCATGGTATCCTCTTCTGTGCCTGGGCACTTACATAGTACAGACATACATGCAAGTAAAATACCCATACACATAAAATTTTAAAAAAAATAATTAGAAAGAAAACTTCCCACTAACCTGAACTTAAAATCTATTCTCTTAGGTAATAGCTAGATGAAAGAAAAATTAAACAAAATTTAAAATGTCAAGGGTATATCACTTAAAAACTAACAAAAAATTTAAAATACATGAAAATTTCTAGAAGCTACACTCAGGAAAATCTGTAACCTTGAAGAATTTGACTCCTTAAAAAGAATGAATATAAAATAAAACTAACCTAATAAAGATAGGCTTTAATAAAGATCAAAGCAAAAATTAATTGAATACAAAAATGGCCTACCTTACTTCTTCTAAAACGAATTCTAAATATGCTTTATAAATAAAAAAATCAGAAAATAAAATGGGAATTGATATATGTTACATGACTTTATACACACACACACACTCCAATCCAAAATTTAGAATCTTAGTGCAAAATAGTAAATGTGATTCAACAAAGGTTGAGAACTATTTGACAATATAATGGAGCTATAGCCAATACAATTAGATAAATAGATACAAGAAATGGAAAAGTAAAAGTATCTGCTTGCAGAATATATACAATAGCTTATATAGAAAATTAAACAGCATCGATGTTTAATAAACAATGATAAACAATGACAAAAATAAACAGTAAAGTAACAGGATAGGGAGTTCCAGTACAGCCAGGGCTATACCAAGAAACCCTTTATCAAAAGGGAAAAAAAGGATTTGGATAAATAGGCATTTCAGTGAAAGCAGAAATTAGTAAAACCATTTCAGACAGCAATGCAGCAATGCTGATAAAACATACCAGGCTAAAACTATGTCTGTTTTGCCCAATTTTTCAGTGCTTTGCCCTAATTCTACAATGCCACACAGATAAGGTCAAGGGGCCCTGGCACTGCACCCTCCTGGGAATTCCACTTTGTTCCAATGCAAGCCCATGCTGAACAAGGTTCAGTAAAAACTTAACAGAAGTGGACTCTAAAAGTTCCAAGCTCTGGAATCTCCCACGTGCTAATGTTCTGGAACCTTATCTATCCTGGGACTGATCAAAGCTCTAGCCTTCCTCATGCAGGGATGTCATTCAGCCTAGAATGAAAATTGGTGGCTTTTTGAGACAAGGTCTCACTCTGTAGTGCAGGCTGACCTAGATAGAATGTATTATGTAGCCTAGGCAGGCCTCAAACTCATGGTGATCCTCCTACTTCAGCTTCTTCTACCGGTGTCAGAGGTGTAATACCTTTTTGGCATTACAAAAATAAACTACAGAAGCAAAGTGCTCTGTGCACCCAGAAGGTAGGGAATGAAAGAAGACTTACTGTGAGAACACACAGATGATGTCTCCTTCTGTCAGTTCATAAGGAAGCCCTCCTAGAAAAGAAAAAAGCACAGTCCAGTTCAGCAAGCATTAATCAAGTGTTTACTGCATACTATGCACTAACAGACACTGGAGTTGCAGAGTCAGTAAGCCTTGAGCTCACAGAAATCAGCCTCATACCATGACAGAGTGGGGAAGGTGACAATAGTCCAGAGGAAAAGTAACTCTTGGATCTCTGAGTTTGAGGCCAGCCTGGTCTACATAGTGTGTTCCCGAACAGCAAGAGCTACATAATGAGACTGTCTCAAAAAAAAAGGAGGAATAAAAGTGATTAATTCTGAGTGGAAAGGAGTCACCACTTACCAAATGAATCTTATCATTCAGTCCTCACAACCAAAATCCTATAAAGCAGATCATTTCCTGCAAAAGACTCATATCTCACAAACACTAAGTTCAAATATGCCTTTATGCTCAGCTACACACAAACTAGGAATTATAGACATAAAAAAGCTGTTATGCATTTCAGAGGACATAAATTCCCCTCCATGACTTTCCCCTCATGTGTAGACAGGGGTCATCAGTATACTTGCCTCACGGGAATGTCACAAACACAAAACTGTGCATAGAAAGTGCTTAGCACAATATCTAGTGGAACAGACTCTTTCAAAAGTCATAAAGTTAAGAAAAAAAACAAAAAACAAAAGTCATAAAGTGAACACAGAATAGTAATACTGTTACCAGAGACGTAACAGGTCCCCTTTGCAGGTTCTTAGTCTCGCTAGTAATTTTAAAACAGATTAAGGATGGACTAAGGATGGACTGGAGAGGGAGGGGGAGGGGGATGGAGGGAGGGGGAGGAGGATGGAGGGAGGGGGAGGGAAATGGGAGGAGGTAGAAAATTTTAAGTAAAAATAAATAAATTAAAAAAAAAGATTAAGGAAGAAGCTTAAGGTTCAGCAAGTCGTCAGTTACACCAGCTACTGGGAGGAGGGAAATAAGAAATATGTTGCCGTGCCTACTGAATTAGAGGGTCAGGCAGGCAGGCATGCTCAGAATTGGAGGCTGAGAAGCGGCTGCAAGGGAACAGCAGAGCCTTTAGATTTGAAATAAGGAAGTCTAGTGTGTTGGGACAAGCACGCTCAGGATTTCAGTCAGTATCCAAAGAAGGGATATAAGGGAAGGGGGTAGATAAGTAAGAAGTCAGAACAGCAGGTAGACTTAACAGCAATCGGCAAACACCCGCACTGAGAACCTCCTCAGGTGTATAAGGACACTGTTTCATTAATGGGATCGTTTTTCTTCCCATGTCTTCAGGTGAATGAACTTTTCTGGCAGGCGACTCCTAGCCAGATGATTTTTTTTTTTGATTTTCGAGACAGGGTTTCTCCGTAGCTTTTGGTTACTGTCCTGGAACTAGCTCTTGTAGACCAGGCTGGCCTCGAACTCACAGAGATCCGCCTGCCTCTGCCTCCCGAGTGCTGGGATTAAAGGCGTGTGCCACCACCGCCCGGCTAGCCAGATGATCTTAAACCCAGTTGGATTAAGTCTTAAGGAAGGGACACATTAGTATGTAGTACTTAGGTTTGCTTAAAATGTCCCATAGCCACCGAGGGCCAAGAGTGTAATACAGACGGTATTCTTTTCATCAGGAGAAGTAGCTTTCCCTTAAAGAACAAACCGCGATACCGCCACCTTTTTCAGGTAGCATTTTAAATCTTAAACAGGAGTGGAGCTGATTTTGAGTGGGGAGTCTGCCTTCAGTGTCTTCCACGCTGGCTAATGTTTGTCCTGATGCCTAGCAATACAGCAAAGGACTAGAAGCAAAAGTCAATCAGAGGAGAAAATAATTTTGAGGACAGATAGTAAACGTGAAATAATAAGCACTAATCTTACAGTTTTCAGTGCAGCAGTGTGTGACCTTAAAGAACTCTATTAATCTGTCTGCACCTCAGTTTCTTTGATATCATAATGGGTTCATTGTGGAGTTACCTGTGTTTCAGCAGCCAAGTGGCAAAATTTTAAGTACAAGATTTTAAGTAAATAACAATCCTTAAAAGCACTGGTTTTTAAGACAACTTAAAATGGACGAGTAAAAAAAAATAAAAATAAAAAACGGACCTGCGGGCAGACAAGCTACAAGAGGGTGGGTGACTAGATTGGTCAGAAGTAATGACCAGAGGTGCAAAATACCCGGAGCGGGGGCGCAGCGACTTTGAACAGCACTGTTAGAGAAAACTGTGGACCTCACCAAGAAAAATCCAGGCGCTGTCCTTGTATTCCGAGTGCCAAGACACCTTTTCTGCCACCCCGAGCTGAACCTCTCGCTCATTCAGTTCGTTGATCAGCTTCACCTTGGTTAAAGGGCTGCGCGGGAGAAATGAAAGACATTAAGCAGCTTTCCTCTATGAGGTACCTTCTAGATACCAATCTTCTCCCGCCCCGAGGCCATGAAGGCCCTACCACCCCGGTGAGGACCGGTCACCGTCTTTGTGGGCGACCACCCGCATCCCACTCCCCCTTCCACAGAGAAACTAAAGCCTTACTTCATATTTGCGCCTTCGCGCTCCAAGCTCAAGTCATCAGCTTCCGGGTGAAACTACAAAGAGCGCACGCAACCTGATCACACAGCTCAGATTGGAGCCTGCAGAACTCGAGGCGGAACTTCCGCTGTAAGTTCCCTGCTACTGGCATCTGCGCAGTAGGCGGAAGCGCTTTCTCACGCTTAGTAATCTTTGCTCCTGAGGCAAATAGTTCCCGAGTTATTCGTTGCTTCCTTTTGTGATGTAAGCAGGGGCGGGATCGTTGGCTTTCTGGATAAGGCATTATTTGATTTAGCTTTAAACGTTTTCTGAATGAGGTAGTGTGTCTGCTCCGGGGTCTGAAAGTCCCAGTTCTATCTCTTAATCTAAAGCCCTGTTCTTTTACTCTTGGGTAGCTGCTCAGAAACAGTCCCTCAAAGCGTCCCTTTTCAGGACGAAAACAGCGGAAAAGTAAAGAAGATAGCCATGAGATGCTAGATATTGTTTCCTGCCCCAATATTAAGGATGGACCGGTGTTGCTCTACAAACTGAATTAAATACCCACAGATTTATGTAAGAAATGTGGCCTCTTTCCACCAGCAAGCAGAAATTAATATAGTCAAATTAGTATCTATCAATTGAGAAGATAGTGAACAAGCGATGAATGATGGGGTAGACAACTTAAACAGGCTATCTCTGTTAGGTCTCATTCAGTACCTGTGACTCCCACCAGCACTCTTCACTCCTCCCCTACCCTAAACCTCTCCCTCCCAAGGGCTGGGCTTCTGCTTCCCTTTCCCCAGCCGGATCCCCATAGAACTGAACCATTTTCATTTTTTCATTCAATCTCTACCCTCCCAACAACCCCAAGAACTCAAACTCCTAACAGTTATTATCCCCATTTTACAGAGGGAGAAACTGCACTCCAAAGCAATTAGCTAGCTTGAAGGTCTGGAGATACTGCTCAGTGGTTACAACTATTTGGTAATCTTCTGAAGGACCTGTATTTAGCTTCCAGCACCCACAACAGGCAACCCACCACTCCAGTTTCAAAAGACCCATCCTTCTCCTCCAGCCTCTGTAGGTACCTGCACGCACATGGCATACACACACATACATACACATGAATAAAACTAATTAATCTTTTACATTTTGAGTAGTTCGAACTGCTCTGCTTGTCCCAATCAGGTCAGGCCAATTTAAGCAGCCCTTATTGAGCATCTAGGTTTGTCCTGTACAGTTGGTCTGTGGAAAGGAATCTGAAGGGGCAATACATATTTACTTGGATAGTTCATGTCATAAATATTCAGAAGTCCATATGCCAGCAGAGAATAGGGGTGCCATTTTGTGAATTCTTAGTCTCTTTAATAATAGAATTTTTAAATGGACTCAGAAGAAAACGTAAAGGCCAGTTTATTAAATTTTGAATGACAACAGTGCGAGGAAACTACAAATCTTGGCAGCTAGTGGAAGGAAGATGTTTAAAAGGAAACAAGAAAGCGATGCCTTTTGATTTAGGGTCTACAGGCGAAGCAGCTTTGCTGAGGGATAATCTCATGAGTAGGTGATCAACAGATCCTACTGGGTTAACTCACATTAATTGTTTTATTTCAAACTTAATTATTTCAAAAGAGAAGATTGCAAGTTTAACACTGAAATTAACCAGACCCAAAGACAATACAACCCAATGAACTTGTACACAGTTTGAGTAGCATTCAGAACAGAAGCTGTGCAACTTCATTTTGGACTTCATGCTATCACTAATAAATATATTTTACTCACTTGTCCACCACATTAGAACTAGAAGAAGAGGGAAGTAGAAAAAAAAATCTCCTGAGTAAATTGGGAGCTGGGGACCTTGGGAGAGGGTTAAAGGGGAGGGGAGAAGCAGGGAGGAGAGCAGAGAAAAATGTAGAGCTCAATAAAAATCAATAAAAAAGAACTAGTAGAAGAATTTGATTTATATCCTCTTTCGCTCATGTCCATTATTTGCATTCAGTCCATCCTTATCACCTAATATTGAGCCTTTCTTGTTCTCTTTTCTACACAATGTACTGCACTGGCATGTACATGTATAGCTAGCTAGAATATATATATATATATATATATATATATATATATATATATATATAGCTAAATTATGCATATGAGGGATGCAGAGACTTTCTGAGACTGTGTGACCTCACTTAATGTTATACATTGTAATTCCATCCATTTTCTACAAATTTTGTGGTTTCATATTTTTTCTTATAGTTAAATAGTATTCCACCTTTTACATATACCAAATTTTAATTATCTATTCTCTTGTTGCTGTGTAGTAAGGCTGATTCTAGTGAATAAAGAAGTAATAAACATAGGGATGCAAATATGTCTATGATGTATGGAACTCTCTGGGTATATGCCAGGAGTAAAACATAAGGGTCATATGGTAGTTCTAGTTTTAATTTTTTTGAAAACTCTGAAAGTTGATTTCCACATTGGTTGTATTAATTTGCACCCACCACCACCACCAGTGAATGAAGTTTCTTTTCTCTCCACGTCCTCTCCAACATTTGTTGTTAGATTCATTGACTATAGCCACTCTGACAGGTGACACCTTGTGGTGGTATCTCTAAGTGGTGATTTTTATTTCCTATTTAAATTTAATTTTATTATTTGTAATTTTTATTTTCCTGATGGCTTTGGATAGTAAACCTATTTGTTGACTGACAAATTTCTTTAAATCCTTGTTGTTTAATTACAATTTTTTTGTAAGTTTTCAAAAGTAGACCTCTGAAGTATAGCTGGTAAATATTTTCTCCCATCCCGTGGGCTGTCTGTTAGCTCTGCTGAGCATTTCCTGTAACATGAGGGCCGACTTGTTGGGGTTTCTGTCCCGCCCAGTACCCCACAGCTGGCAAGTCCCAAAGAAAAATCACACAGAGATCTCCATAAGTTATAAAACTGATTGACCCATTAGCTCAGTCTTCTTATTAGCTCTTGTAGCTTATATTAACCCATTACTCTTATCTATGCTAGCCACACGGCTCTGTACCTTTCTCAGCCGGGCAGGTCACATGTTGCCTCTTCGGTGGTCTGGGCTGGACTAGTGAGAATGGTCTTCCTCCTTCCTAGAATTCTCCTGTTCTCATGGCCCTGCCTCTACTTCCTGTCTGGTTGACCTGCCTATACTTCCTGCCTGGCCAATCAACATTTATTTAAAACATGATTGACAGAATACAGACAATTCTCCCACACTAATTTCCTTTGCCATAAAGAGACTTTTTATTTCCATGTAGTCCCATCTGTGAAAACATAGGGTTAGTTCCTGTGCTATTGGTGTTCGATTCAAAAAATTCTTGCCTATCCCAATATCTTAAAGAGTATCCTCATGTTTTCTTCTAGAAGTGTCCGTATTTCAGATTTTTAATTAAGGTTCTTGATCTATTTCTGAACTGATTTTTGTACAAGGTGAAGGATAAGAATCTAATTTCTGTCTTCTGCAGGGAGAAATTCAGTTGGTCAGCTGTTTGCTGAATAGGCTCTCTTTTCCCCAGTGTATGTTTTTAACCTCTTTGTCAAAAATTAAGTGGGCATAGATTTGTCATTTTATTTCTGGTTCCTCTCATTCTATTCCACTGGTGTTAATGTCTATTTTTACTCCAGTACCAGGCTGTATTTATGACTATAACTCTATAGGAAACTTTAAGGCCAGGTATCATAATACCTCCAGCACTGCTTTTACTCTTTGGGATTTCTTTGGCTTTCTGTAGTCTTTTGGGGTTCCATATGAAGTCTTGTTTTTCTCCTAAACCTGTGAAATGTATCAGAAGTTTGAAAGGTGTTACATTTAATTTACAAATTAATTTTGATAGTATAGTCATATTCACAATATTTGTTCTACCAATCCAGAAGCATGGAACTCCTTTCTTTTCTTCTTCTTCTTCTTTTTTTTTTTGAGTCAGGGTCTCACTATATAGCTCTGTCTTTCCTGGAATTCACCATGTAAGCCAACCTGGTCTCAGATTCACAGAGATCTGCCTGCCTTTGCCTTCCAAGTGCTGTGACTAAAGGCAGCATGGACCTTTTACAGTACAGGACAATATGTAATATTCTCATTTGAGACAGCTCAAAATGTCTTGTCTCCACCTAAAGCCAGAGGTAGAACTCACAATACAGTCCTTTACCAAGAGGAAGTAGCTTTCCATTAATGGACCTTAACAAAGCTCTGATACCTCTACCTTTACATATGGTATTTTAAACTTTAAAGAAAGGCAAAGCTGGTTAAGATGGAGGGGCCCATCTTCAATGGCTTCCAAGTTTACTAATGTCTGTCTAGCTACCTAGCAAATAGAATAAATAATAACACATAACATGTGACATGAGCCTTACAGAATATATGTATGTCATATGTATGCTATCCTGTATGTCTATATCAATATCTGGTCATGAAATATAATACTCTAAAAGTGAAGCTTCAGAGGGATAGTTAGTAGTTTTAGTGGCCCTTATTCAGAGCACCAGATATAAGGACATTCACAAAAGTATTTTGCTGATGATAATTGTACTATCAACTGGCTCAACCTACATCCGGGTTCCTGCAAGAAGCAAAGGCTGCCTACCAAGGACAGTTTCTCCTCAGGTGTTCACCTGTGAATTAGGGGCCTGCCTTTGACTTCCTCACTTCAAGCCAGCTACACCCTCTTCTCCCTTCCTACCCTGCTATTCATTAACTTTGCTGAATAATATTGCTGGTGAAAACTAAACAGTGACAGATTGCATATTGGATTTTATCTGTTCCTAGAAATCTCCACTTGCTTTGTTGGTAGGACTATAGTAGCCACTTGCAAAGTGATAAGCTTGCAGGCAGTATTATCTTGCTGGTGTCTTCTGGTAACTGTGAAATAAGCAAGTTGGGGATACACCTGGGGCTCAGTCATCTGAATTCAGAAGGAAGGTGGAGCATAAGAGAAAGTGGGGTCAACCAAATGGAAGGATAATTTATGTTGAGAATGGGGAATATTTCTATCGAACTTTTGGGTTTCACAGAAATGCTCATTGG